TTGCAATGTCATTGGGGAAGAGGTTTCCGAGCACCAAGCCATGCAAGATGGTTGTTATGAAAAGAGCAATGACTGTGATTGTGGCAATGAGAGAGAGTGTAACAGCCAGAGCTTTTGTTACCACATTTGTGACTTCATTTGAGTACCTGATGGTTACACTGGCAGCACCAGTCATTGGAAAAGTATATACCCACCATGCCATAGAAAACCTATAGAACCAAATCTAACTGAATGTCAGAAAAAAAATATTCCTGTACAAAACTACAGACGGTAGATTCAGTTCAAAGAAATGAAAGTGATATCGTACTTAAATCCTCGGAAAAAGTTAACCCAGACTACCTGTGCAATCAGGAAAAACGTTAAAAGAACAGTTAGCGATAACACCAAGCCAGTTCTTAAGTAGTAATGCAACTTAGTTCAGGTTATACTTGCCAGTGAGAGATAAAGGAACAAGGCAATGAAGTAAGCAATCCGTGAACTGTAATCAAAGGAGCCTTGGATTTTTGCCCATGCCATGGAAGCTACGCTTGGTGCTACAAACAGAAAGAATACAGGATGTTGGGATTACTGTCTCATTAGTTGGAAGTCGCTGATAGAGCGTTACGAATAAAACTATGTAGTGCGCCAAACCAACAGCGAAAAAGAATAGTGATCCTTCTTTGTGGGGTTTAAATAGAAAATATCTTTTATTTCTTATTTTTTTAGCTTGGGGTGTATTTAAGGGTAGTTTGGGAAGATAATGGGGTTTACTTAGAAATTGTGAAAATTTAAATTAAAAGTTGGGGTGAACTAAGAGAAGTGTGGGGTTTAAATAGAAAATCTCATATATTTTTTGTTCCAAGAGTTCAGCCGAGCGGCTGTACTATTTAATATATATTTTTAGTCGCATAGTTTAGCCGGTCGGCTGTACTCTTTTATATTTTTTTTTCTTCAGAGTATTACCGGGCGGCTATACTATTTAAATATTTTTATTCAAAAGGTATAGCCGCACGGCTTGACGCTTGAAATATATTTTTTATTCAAAGCGGCTGTACTCTTTTATATATGTTTTATTCACACAGTATAGTATATTTTTTAAATCAAAGAGTAAAGCCGTTCGGCTATACACTTTAAATATATTTTTTTATTCAAAGAGTATAGCCGCGCAGCTAATTTACGTCGTTATTTTCTTTATGCACGTTTTTAAATGTCTTATTCACGAAATAATCACGGCCTGCGTCGTGGTTTTATATTCCTATGAGCAAGAGCAACGACCTACGTCATGATTTTATGACTGGATTTGTTTCTTTATATTATGCCCATCTTTTGTTTGCCTTTTTTTCTAGCTTTTGTGTTGCAGAGTTGTGGAGAAAGTTTGGGATTTTACTTACAGCTTCCTTTTTTGCAGTCCTTGTAAACAAGGATTGGTAAGCATACCCTAGTATAAATAAGCTATTAAGAGACTTTTGCCCTTCTTTGATTCATTACTTACTTGGCAGTTTCCGATTGCCAATTTCCTTGATAAATTTGTCTTCAGCCTGGTGCTATTTGGATAGAGAAGACGAAATAAGATTCTCATGGGAAAGAAACAAACCCAAAGATGCGGAAAAGCAGAGAACAAAGATCTGAGAAGAAAGCCAGAAAATTCCTTGTAAGTTCTCCGCTCTGTTTTAGTCATAGCATAGATGTAACTGCATGCATCTTGTTGCTTTTCTTTCTTTCTTGTGAAGGATGAGCACAATTTGGTGGCCGGAATCCATGAACTGCCACATGAAATCCGTGTTAGCGTATTATCTCTATTGCCTTTAAAGCAAGCAGCTGCTACTAGTATTCTTTCTAGGCAATTGCGTTATCAGTGGTCGTTTACTACAAATCTCTATTTTGATGTTGATCTCACGTTACGCAGCTTCAAAGTCCTCAAACGTTAATTAAAAGACAAAAACAGTCGTAGATAGCCCAGTTGGGTCAATCATGTGTTGAAACAACATAAGACTTTCCCTCCACACTATTAGGTCTTGAAAAGGGGTCCCTCTTTGACGACGCCTTATTGTGGCATTCCAAGTCCACACTCTGGTTTTGAGTTCCTTAGAGTTCTTGATTTGGCAAATGTTGATGTGACTCGAGAAGTTCTTGACTACTTCTTGTCTAATTGTCCAGTTCTCAAACAATTATCAGTGTTTTGTGCAACAAATTTGGTTGATTTAAGAGTTGTCCGTCCATCAATTGCACTCAATTGTTTATCCATAAGACATTGTCATGGCCATAGAAGAATTGTGTCATTTATTTATGCTGGACGTACGGAAAACTTGCTTCTCAGTAATGTGCCATCGCTTGTTGAGGTATCCATTTTCGAGGATGCATAACATTTCAAGAGCCTGAGTCTTGCCTTCACCAAACTTTCATGCTGTCTTTCTCAACTAGAGACTCTTATGTTGAATATCAGTAGTAAGGTTAGTATTTTTAATTATCATGTGTACTTGGTTCTGTTTTCTTTTTGTTGGATTACGTGTTCCTTAATTAGTCTGTATTTGGCTGCAGTATAGCAACATATTCCATGTTCCTATATTAGCAAATCTTAAGCATTTGGAGCTTATAGTTCGAGCAGATGATCAATGGATTCTTCATCAATTAACTTCTTTCATAAAGGCATCTCCTCGCTTGCGAAGACTTACACTTCATGTAGGTATTCCTATTTGATAGATGACATGGTAGATTGCACTAGAGAAACTTGTTATTGATTCCGTTAGGTGTTGGTGTTTTCATCACACCGGGGCGAATAAGAGAATGAAGACTTCAAAGAGGAAGAAGAGGCAAGAGATCATGCCATGCACCAACTTAAACAAATAGTTCCATCAACTATACAATTTGTTAGCTTGTACGGTTCATTTTGTAAAATGTAAGGTCAGTCTCCCAAGCGAAATCCCAACTTTAAGTTCTCCAACTTTGGCTCAGAGGGAGTTCCCTTGTTGGAACAAAAGACATTGTTTTGAGTTCTCAAACCCTTTTAAGTTCAGCCAGACATTGTTTTGAGTTCTCAAACCATATTCCATTGGGGAATATGACATGCTCAACACAGAATAATCTAAATACAGTATAATTTATTAAACATTTTATTTGTTTAATAACATGCTCAACACAACTCGAACCTGCTACAACACGTTTATTAAATAGGCCAGATTTTGATTGAGCATTCTTGACATGTTTATTATCTTGACATGACACGACCCATTACCAGCCCCACATAAATAAATGAAACAAGGTTTGCATCATAAATCTTAATGCTTCTAAGGCGAGGACAATGTCTAGTGGCAACATACACTGATAATCTTCCAAGAACTGGACAATTAGACAACAAAACTGAACAACTGCTCGAGTCACATCAACATTTGCCAAATCAAGAACTCTAAGGAATTCAAAACCACTGTCACAATAAAAGGCCACAAAATCAAGAACTCTTGGGTGTGATTTTAGGATTTGTGTGTGTCTTAGACTGAATTCAAAATAGAGATGAGGAGATCGACTTAGGCTAAAGGTTTTCTTTTGAAAGGGTTGCAATCCACTATCCTAGGTGGAATAGAATATAATATGCCAATACACGCATGCCACATATAAATTATTAATAATAAGTAATAAAAAAAATAAGTAATATATGTGTCAAGTAGGTCAATTCGAGGGTTGGCGGGTTGACTCTAAATTCGATTCTTTTAATAAAAGGGTCGTGCTGTACCTGTCCATTTATGAAATCATCAAGTCCGACTCGAGTTCACATCCCTAGCCCATATAGGATCGTGCCAGGTTTGTGTTGTGCCACTAAATGGGCCGATATGAGCCCACATCAAACTTGACTTATTATTGTATTTTTCTTGTAACTTTTTTTACAACTTTATTTTAAGCTTTTTTTATATTCATATGTATATACAAACAAGATTTATTATTTGTTGAAAAAAGAGGCCAATAACTTTATTTGAAAAAAGCTAGATTATTATTTGGGTTTGGAGTTTTAAAAGGGCCGCCTCGACTTGCACAGCCCATGACGGACTACTGGCCAACTCGGCTCATTAGGTTGAATTATCTTGTCCTGGCCCGCCTAAAGATATGAGCCGGGCCATGTCGGGCCTTAACTTTGCCATGTCATTAATTTAACGGTGAAATTGACGAACAGCGTGATCTGGTCAAATTTAGAGGCATTGGGTATCAAATTGATCAAATAGATGAAATTGACACCTCTGGTCCATTTCGATGGAGTAAAGACACACCATCGGAGGACGGAGGCGATCCTTTGCTTCCATGGTGTTTTCTTGAGTCTTGCAGCAAGTGAAAAATGGTGGGCGAGCACTTTGCTCCAGAGGGCTTCGAATTCAAACAAATCCCCAAAACCCATTTGAAGGAATGCTCCATGGTCGCCATCAGAGACTCTCCTCTCTCATCCTACAATGACTGCTCTGTGTTCCCTCCAATCAACCACGAAAATCTCCACCTTCCATCACAACCCAATCAACAACACTCTGACCCATTATCGCCATCGCCATCTTCTCCATCACTATCATCTTCTTCGTCATCGTTGCTGTCCTCTTTTTCACCTTCCGATTCCGATGAATCAGGCCCGGTTTCACCGTTATCGTCAGGTACGCAGGTCCGGAAACCTGTTCAAGGCACCACCTGGATAGAAATTGGGGTTGAAGTAGTGCGTTCCAAGCTTTTTGCCATGGCTTCCTCATTTGGGTTCGATAAAGTTTGGTGCTTTGCCTCTGGCGCGGGCATGGCGGCTGGGGTGTTCATGTTATTGTCCTTGTACTTGCGCGCTCGGCAAAGGCGGTATCGGAATCATTTGAAATTGATTGTGAAAGAGAAAGATGAGGTTAGCTGATCATCCATGTTCTTAAAGTGTATGAAATTTGATTGACTTTTGTGTGTTCGTTGAAATTTGATTTGCCCAACAATGAAAAAGCTGATAACTTTATTTTCAATATAGTCTCCTTATTGTTGATTTGGTGCATTTGCAGAAAATTAATAAACTCCTGCACCAAATTGCTCAGATGAACGAAGTTCTGGTAGCTCGGCATAGAGTTCTGGCTTCAAAACTGGCTAATTGACTAAAGAAATACAACATCATTAGCTGCTGAATTGGTGAAATTAGGAAGGCCAGTACAATAACAGAGCTGAAAACATTGGGGGGTTTGCAAATTGCAACACCAAGCTAATGCTCCAGTCATCTCTAAGGAGAGAGGATCCCAATCTCACGTTGCAATGGCACAAGTTTGAGCTCTGCTAACAAATTTTAGCGGACAAAGTAAGGAACCAGCAGGTCTAGCACCCAAGCTCTAGAGTTAGATGCACAATGTTTCTGGTTTTTGTGACCCAGTTTAAATATATTAGCTTTTGTATATTTGGTTTGGTCTCTTTATGTGCGTATGTGTTGACAGATTTTAGAATTATTTAAAGTTTGAGCTCATGAGTTGGCAACAATTCTATGCAGTAATTTTCCTGGAAAGAGCATTGTGTTTGCGCTTGACAGCGAAAAAAAGTCACAGATATACAATACGAGGATATTTAAAGCTAAAAACGTACGGAGGATAATGCTATAGATGGATAAAGTTCAAAACAAACTGCTTTGACAACTTAGCAGGTAATCACTAATATCTTACAGAATTATTAAAAACCAAGAAAGAGACCTATCTAGAAGATTTTCTCAAACAATTTTTTTTGGTCGATTTTCACAAACTGGGAACGTAAGTAATTCAATCAAAGCCTGATTCATCACACAGCTTAGAACTTGAACAATTGGAATTATGGCCAATTACCTCCCCTGGATATTTCCCTTTTGAGCAAACGCTGGAGAACCAATTGTCACTTCAGAATCATCATTCACTCCAACAGCAGAGCCCAGAGCAGAGCCTTCCTTCGAGTCATTTTCACTCGGTTTTTCCAAAGAAATGAGACTGGAAGTTTTATCTTCTGGAGGATCAATCTGTGAGGCTGCCTCTTGAAGCTGTGAAGCGTACTCTAAGTTCCACAATACATCTCCCATGGTAGGCCTATCAACACCATATTCAGCCAGGCATTTTTCTGCAGCTTCTACAAACTTCCTCAGGGAACCAGAGTCGACTGAGCTAGCAATATAAGGGTCAATTATCTTCTCAATCATACCCTTCCTGTGCCATTGCATTGCCCACTCAGCCAAACTCACCTGCTCTCTTGGCAGCGCCGGGTTTATAACAGGCCTTGCACACAGTGCCTCAAAAAGCACCACACCAAAAGAGTAAACATCAGATTTCTCAGTAAGCTGTTGCCTCCTGAAATACTCAGGATCGAGATAACCAAAACTACCCTTCACAGCTGTGCTGACATGAGTTTGTTCCAACGTTGGTGCAGCTTTCGACAGGCCAAAATCAGAAACTTTTGCAACAAAATTCTCATCCAGGAGAATGTTTGTTGTCTTTACATCACGGTGTATGATACCTTGTGCTGCACCGGTATGCAGGTAATGTAAACCGCGAGCAGCGCCAATGCAAACCTCAAGCCTTTGTTTCCATGACAATGGTGGTTGGTTTGAGCCATAGAGGTGGTCACGAAGCGGTCCATTAGCCATGTACTCATACACAAGGATCATCTCCGCATTCTCATCACAAAACCCAATTAGTGAAACGAGGTGGCGATGGCGTAGCTTGGAGAGCATGTCCATTTCTGTTCTGAATTCATTAATGCCTTGCTCTGAATTTGGGTTCCCTCTTTTTATAGCAAGCTTAGTACCATCTTCCAACACCCCAAGATACACTTTTCCAAAACCACCAACACCAATCACTGCCTTCTCATCAAAGTTTTGTGTTGCATTTTGTAATTGACTGAAGGTGAAGGACCTTCCGTAGCAATTAGTTGAAGAGAAATAGGTTGAGTGACTACTTTTGCTCTTGCGTGAGCCGAAGACGACTGATCTTCTTGAGCTGCTCTTACTGGAGAATAAGCTAGATTGGCTGGAATGTAGAGGAAGCAGCCATGATGAGAAGCTATTTCTCTTTTCCCAACCTTGAGGTCTTCTTTGCCACCTCACAATAACTACAACAACTAACAACATTGCTGTCAATCCCATTCCCAAGCCAACACCTGCAACTATCTTCATGGTACTTATTCCTGTAGGTCCCTTGTATGACCCATCAACACCGAAAAGACCATCCAAGCTATCCGCTATGTTGCTCATCTTTAGGATCTCCAATCCATTAAGAAGTGCATCCTGAGAGCCTGACTGAGTACTACCGGGACCAACCTGAACCCGTATGGTATTATTTTCACTGGAGATTGATGTGGCGTTGAGCACAAAATCTTTGTAATAAGCAGTGGAAAGGGCACCCGTGAGTGAAGAAAGGTCAAGATTGGACACGGCCGACATCCCATTGACATATACATTGAAATACAAAGTATTAAGGGCCTTGCTCACAATGTCACTAAAATGCATTCTGATCAAATAGGAAAAGTCCTCTTCAACATTCAACTTCCAGGTGAGGTTAAAATTCTGTTGACTTGTAGCAGAGTCTTTCATGTGTTGAGCGGATGCATAAACCAAATTCGGGGCAATCAACACAGTAGCCCCACTCTGTGGATACTTGATGGCTTTGGGAGCCACAGACACATTTTGAGTTCCTTGTGGAAATGCATTATATGCATTATCAGGCTCCCAAGTCCTTGACAATGTGTCATTTGCAGGAGATAGCAATGGACCTCCAACATTTAACCGGTATCGAACTTGAAAAGCATAATTAGATAAGCCATTGAAGTCACCAACCGGTGAAACTGATGTGGCTGAATTATTGAACAGAGTATCAGGAGCAGAGACAACCTCAATAGCATTGACAAATGCACAGGATTTCTTCTTGGGACTGAAATGGAGAGAAATCCGGTTTTCTGTGACATTGAGAATGTACTCTTTAAACACCAAGGTGGTACTGTCTGTCACAGAGAAGTCATGCAAAAGAACATACTTATCTGTGTTTACTGTGAAAACAGCGCTTGTCAAATTATATGTTTGGTGTGGAAGTGGATGGAAGTAAAGCCTAATCCAATGCTGGCCTGGTTTGTTAATGTAGAAAGTGTAGGTGGATTTTTCAGAGAAAATTCTTGCGGTGCGATACAAAGGCTGAGAGGAAGATGCTATATTGGAAGAGGCATTGGCAGTGATTGAATCAACTGAAGCCTGCACATCTTCGTTTGTGGACAAGAGACTAGACGTGTCACGGTCCGATTTGAATGTCCTGCCATCATTGAGTTTGGTTTGTTGTGGCGAGCCACAGTCGATGAGAAAATTATCAGGAGGAGAGAATGTGGCTGTAGGAGGAGAAGAGTCATTGCCTTTGGCTGAAACAAAGCTTGTGAGGCTGAATGTTAATGCGCACAGGAGAAGGAAAAGAAAGGGTAGGGAGGAGAAGGGCTGAGGCATTGATGCCCCATTTATCTCTCTCCCCATTGATGTCTATGATGGTGCAAATTAAGGAGGAGGAAATGACGGTGGCAATGGCAGTGGTGGCGGCAATGGAGGATAGATCATAGTAATAGAATTGGGCCCAAAAATGCAAGAGCTTAACTCAAGAACAAGGAGGGTGGTGGGGTTATGGGGGAGAGAAGGTATACGTGGATTTCGGGCATGTACGAATGTACAAAAATGCTTAGACAGTTGGAGGAAACAGAAAGAGAAGATGGAGATGAGAAAGGATGTTGTTGGAAGCAAGAAAGGGGAAAACGTGCAGAGATGTTTGTTTTGGTATTGTTTTGTTTGTTTTGTCTGTTTGAGTTTGTGATGAATGAGAGAGACTTGGTAAAACAAAGGGAGAGGAGTTGAGAGGGAAGCGAGCTATGCGTTGGGCCCTCAAAGCAACTAAGATTGTCATTGTAATATTTTTACTAGGACAAGCCTTATCCTCAACGCAAAATTATATGGTGGCGACGTGGTTTTGGACATAAACACAATTTCAACAAAATTATGGTTGTCACATTTTAGACTCATATATTAGGGGTATTTTATATTTTATACTCATATTAGATTAGGGGTATTTATTTGAAAATAAGAATTGGAGCATGCATACTAGGTTTGCAGGCAACCAGCCTTAAGTGTTTCCCATGTAGAATGGAGATGGGCGGCTTCGAAGAGGTTAGCAAATAAACAAAAGAAAATGCAGGCCAACGTTGGTTGGTTCAAATCTTCATTATAAGTCAACTCTTGAACTTGTAGAAAAGTACAGGGTTGGCACCAAAGCATTGTTGTGTAACCAGGAATTTTCTTGTTTTAATCTAAACATTTTGCATCTCCCTTTCATAGTTTTTGAGACCAGAAAATCAAATGACTAATGCTAATATAATATGACAGAGAGCAAGAATAAAAAATAGATTTTATTTATGAGATATGATATAGGTTCATAAATACAACAAAAAATAGGGATCCACCAACATTTTGTGGATCAAAGAATGTTGAATTTATAAAATTGCTTGTATAAGAATTTACTTTCTAAAGTGTATCCATCATAATTATGAACTAAACTCAATTACAACCTTTTTCTCATTGCACTTGACAACCCTGCTCTTCTGCTCTGAGATATATCAGTCCACGTTGTATTCTCTGCAGATGAAATTGGATACAAAACAATCTAATGAGACAACGAAGAGAAGTTTGCAGCTCTGTTTTGAAATCAATTGAAGGTACCAGAGGTCACATGGCATTGATATACGAACTATTATAAATGAGATTTCATACAACATGTGTTAGATGAGAAGTAGCATCTCATTCTTACATATACCACACCCACGTGCACCTGAAATTCCCAAGGTGAAGAGGGGAGAAAAGTCCAATACCTCTCTTGTATCTCGCAAGCGTAGGAGATCCAACCTTTCATTTGGACGCCGGTTTGATAAAGAAGCAAGCTGCATCCAATCATACATTAATACCGGCAATCACAGCCCACAATATACTCAATTTTAATAAAGAGAAATATAAAGTTACCCAGAAGCTGAAGCACTCAGGATCTTGTAGTGAAGGCATCATCGCTTCCATGCCGAGAAGTCTCTCAAGTCGTCTTCGATCTGTAAAGAGATACTATCATACATCAAAAGGGCACATAGGGATACTGAACACAAGAACATTCTTATGTACATTGGCATTACATATAGACTGAAAATTTTCATGGCTTGAATAAGGACAAATTGTCACAAGTAAATAAGATCTGTTGATCTAGAGATAAAGATCCTCCCCAAATGTTCCAAGCAGAAGCCTCCTAAAGATGAAATCTGAACGTGACAGACATTTCAGTGGAACAAAAGGTTTAACCTAGTAAAACTAATGTTTCATTTCCAACCATTACAACTGACCACCAAATTGAAACATGCAATCTCAGTCGGGCAGTAATATTCACCCAAAATAATGGAAAATCTGAGTCAGGATATTTGTAATGGTCATCCAAATACCTATTATAGAGGACTAAGAGATTTAACTTATGAAGACACCCA